TATTTTAAGCTTACCTTGTAGGGCATTGCTTTTACTTGATGATTTACTGGCATTTACTTTTCTCGATCTTACTTGCATACTAGTGCTATTAAAGCATGCATAATTAGTGCTATTTATACCAAAAGTAATGCACATTTTGCTGGTTCATTTTAAAGACATGAATTCTGCTTTTTGCAGGACGCATTACTGAGTGTGAAAATCGTATCGTGGCTAAGCGAATGTTTTGCAAAATATTGGATTTATGTAGTCAGCCTTGTTTTGCTGCTTATTTCGATTCAGACCCCGCCGGTGCTCTATACAGTCGGCTATTTTGTGTTCTTCAGCATCCTGATCACCCTTTTATTGGTATTTTTTTCCCCCACGCAACAAGTTTTAGATTGTCTGCTGCCCGCAGCCGGCGTTTTTCTTTGTTTTATGCATTCAAAATATAAATACTTGAATAGGTAACAAAATAACCTTTTATCACTCTTCTCAGATTACATTTTATAAAAATTGGATGTTTTTAAAAATCGTTCTGTCGATATGTAAAATTCCAAAAAATCAATTTTTCATTAGCCCCATGGAACAGAAACAGTAATGTTTCTCGAGGCAACTTACAAAGCGCATAGTCACTTAAAGTTTTGCAGCACGAGGGTATAAACAGGATGAGGATAGAAAGTATAAAGAAGTAGGTGTTTCGAGATAAAAATGTTAGCTAATTTTGCTCCCGTTAGCTCTGCACATATTCTGCCCTTGTTGCATTTTGAATAAGAAAAATATGTCTGTTACAGCAAATTTCAAGCATACTTATTTTCCTATTTGAATGCTTTAATCCGTCTTTGTCGCTTATTAGTAGCGGAGTTTAGAGGGCGAAGTTCATAAAATTTTTGTGATTGCTTGCTATGAAGATGTTCTGTTGATTGTCTAACTAAGCGCTGGATTTGTTTTGATGCTTTTCTGATTGCCCAGATTTCGCTGACCTGCCTTTGTCGTTCGCTTTATGGTTATTGGACGTTCCTCATTACCTACTCGTCGCTGGTGCTGGTGATACTGTACTGTTATCAATTCCCATCGGTACCATCGCTTTGGCGGAGCGCCACGGGCCTGAGTGATGATTGGAATCATGATATTGGCTTGATCAATTACAAGCAGGAAGGAGATACCGGGTGGGCGCATCTTTTTATTCTGTCTGTCTGCTGCTGCTGCTACTGCTACAGCACAGTTTCACTTAAAATGCTGTCTGAGTGGGCAGTTCGCATCTGTTGGATTTTTGTTCTCATGCCGAACTGTGAACCCTGAAATTTATCAAGCTAATTGCTCTCCGGTTTGCAGGGCCCTTTTCATTCGTCTCATTGCTCCCATATCATTTTTCATTTTCGCTATGCTGCAGCTGAAATTCTTCCACAGCCGCTGGTGTCGGCTGGTTACAGCATCTTCGGAAGAAGCTGGAGTGGCAGCAGGAGTTTCTCACGGTGAGCCTTCTTGCTGAAAAAATTTGATGAGATAACTATAAGTTGAATGCCGAAACGTGTGTTGCATTTGGGCTGCTACAGAGAAGATAAAGGGACGGGAATAGGAAATGTGTGGAACACCTTCTGTCTCGGTGCTGTATCCCTGTTGCAGGTGGGTGGGAGGAGGTCGATCCAAACAGCCTTCGAGGTATTCGCAGGGCCACAAGATAAGGAATGGCAACTTCTGGCGTTTTTTTTGTTTACAGTAAAATAACGTTGTTGTGATTCTACAGTGATAGCGCGCAGGCTACTAGATATAATGAGGTAGCATTTGCCGGTTTGTAACAGCTTTATGATATTTTGAAGGTTGAGCCTAAGCCTGAACTCGGTAGGAAGTCTTATAGTTTTCGCGACTGAGATGGAACTGTCATGAAACATTGGGACAAATTGCAGCTTTCTTCCCTCCTGTTTGAGTTAATAAGCGTTGGGGCGGTGAACGTTTCATTTTTGTTTTCGTACTTTTGGAATTGAATCATTTTGAATGTTTCTGTTTGCTCAGCTTTGTTCGATCTCTCCCTCTGTTCATTGCCCTCCTAGAGCTTCGTGCTGCTGCAGTTCTCTGTTGCGTTAGCCATCCACAGCGTGTCGATTTCGACTCTTAAGTAACAGTACGTTCTCGAGAAGCTGCGCTGTGGACTGCTTACCCTTCTTGCAAAATATCATCGTCCCCTCCTCGTCTCGCATCCTTTTAACGTGACTTGCGATGCTGCATGCTGCACAGTCTTGGGCCTGCAATTTGGCGCAGCCATAGTGGGTCTGTCGTGAACGCGCCCATCCCAATCTGTACACTTTTATCTCTCCATCGCTCACGGATTTATTCTTGACTACAGCTGTGTATCGGTGTTGTGTCTGTCTGATCCTTAACCGATTGCACTCGTGCTGGATTTTCTGCGGGCTGGGTCCTTCTGTTCATGCATCCGGCGAATTCCTTTTTGCGTATTATTCTGGATCGGGCAGCGCTTCTGCAGCCGTCGCTTGGTTATTTTGTCGAAATAGAAAAAAGAAAATGGCATTTTTACTATTATTACAATTTGTGAGCGATGATCAGCCGTCTTTTGTCCGAACTGTTGTACAGTGCGCGAAAGCGACGAGTAGTGGGCGAGAGGACGAGTCCCCACCCTCCCTGTTCGTTGTAATGGCTGTAGTCATTGAGTTCGTTGTAC